CCGGCCCCTGCCCCGTCCCCGGCCCACAGGTGCTGGAGCAGCACGCGGATGGGCGCTGGAAGGGCTGCATTCACGACAACCGGACCGGCAACGACCGTGTGGGCTACTTCCCCTCCAGCCTCGTCGAAGCCATAAGCAAACGAACAGGCAAATAATCCCCCCCCTGCCTCCCCCCGCAGGGCTGCTCCCCAACCTGCAGCCCCAGGGAGCCCTGTTTTTGTCAAGCGGTGCCTGGGGTGCAGAGGGGTGCAGCCGGTGAAGCCAAGCTGGGGCGATGCCCCCATCATGCATGTGGGGGTTGGTGTCCCTGCCATGTGCATGAGGACGGTGCCTTTGAGTGTGTGGGGTTGGTGTCCCCATTGTGCATGTAAGATCGGTGTCCTCGTTGTGCATGTGGGGTCAGTGCCCCTCTTATGCCTCTGGGGTCGGTGCCCACATGGTGCACATAGGGATCAGTGCCGGCAGCCCCGGAGTGCTCATGGGACAGCCCCGGAGCCAGGCTGGTGTTGGGCTGGGGGAGGTGTCTGTGGTGCCAGGAGGTCAGTGCATGGAGAGAGCTGTGGGTCTCACTGGGGTTTTGGGTGGGATGGCACAGCAATGGGACCAGGGGACCCAGTGCTCTGGGTCTGAGCAGGGGTGGCTGCAGCAGCCTCATGCAGGGCTGGGTACTGGTGCCATGGACCCGGCGCTGCCCCTCGGGGACCCTCTCCCTGGCCAGGGGCCGTCTCAGGGATCAGACCCTGCTCCCCTGCCCTGCGGCTGCCTGTCCCTATCCCTGTTCCCATTCCCTCAGGCTCCCAATGGGGTGCGCGGTCCCCTGGGATGGCCTGTAACCATGCTCGCTGCCAGGAGCACTGTGATGGGGCTGGTGCCTCTGTAGCGCTGCCTAGCTCTGTGCGATCTCAGGGGCGGCCACATCTCTGGGGTGCAGGCAGGGAATGGCAGCGCTTGAACAAGATCCTAAGGGAGCAGTGGCACGAGTGCCTGCCGGCTGCCAGGCACTGCCACACTGGCTGTGGATGCTGCAGAGGTGCCACATAGCACAGGCAGGGGCAGAGCCACTCTCTGGGTGTGGGTCGTGTCCCGGTATGATGGGGATGAGGTCCGTGGCTCCTGGGATGTGGCCAGCTCTGTGGTGGTGTTTGCCAGGGTGTGGGGTTTCGTAGCCATCCCATTGGCTGGAGCTCTGGCTCGCGTTCAGCGGGGCGGCAGCATGGGCTGCAGGCGGCGGCTGCACCAGGGCTTGGCCAGCTGGGCACGGGGGAGCTGGCACTGCAGCCCCCAGCCCAGCCGTGCCTGCAGCCTGCCTCCTCCTGGGATGCCTTCGTGGGGAGCAGGACCCCCGGCAGCCCGGCTGTGGGAGGCTCACAGTGCCCAGAGCCCCACGGTGATGTTGCTGCCTTAAGGATGGGGCTGCCCTGGCATCCGTGCCCCGCTGGGGAGCCGTGGCGGGTCTGCGGGATGTGCCCGCAGGATGTACCCTTCCGCTGGGCCAGGCCGTGCGCTGAGCTCCCGCTGCTGCTCCTTGGCTCGGCTCGGCATCGGTTGGGTCTCGGTTCTGGCTTCTCCATGTTCCTTTGGTTGCTTTTTTTGTTTGCTGCTTTTTTTCCTTTCTTTTTTTTATTTTCTTTTCTTTTTTTTTTTTTTTGGTGGCGCTGAGCGTGTCTCTATTATTTTGATTCTTTTCATTTTGTCTCTTGTTATGTTTTATTATCAGGTTCATGGGAGACTGTAACAATCCCCCAACAGTACCAAAAGATCCCGCTCCCGGCTTACGGGGCTGCTGTGCTAAATGGTGACGCCTCGTCCCATCCGTTCCATTCCCTGCCTCCACCTCCACCTCCACCACCACATTCCCATCAGACTCTTTTCAGTTCCTTTGGCTATCACAGGCTCTCCCCTAGCAGTGCCGACGAGCCGCGTTACAGACAAGGTAGTTCACCGCTCGCTTCGTGCTCTCGATGGATTTCTTTCTTTTCCTTTAAAGTGTGTATCGAGTCTTTTCTTTCTGCTCGGCCTCTCTCCTCCTTGCCGTGGTGTGTTTGCACGCAGGTGCGTGCAGGTGCGTGCAAGTGCGTGTACGTGGGTGCGTGTGTGTGCATGCAGGTGTGTGCGTGCAGACGCGTGCATGTGCGTGTGAGCATGCAGGTGTGCGCGTGTGCATGCAGGCAGGTGTGTGCGTGCAGTGTGTGCGTGTGTGTGCACACGTGCATGCCATCGGCCCCCTCCCCTGCACGCCCTCTCCAGCGCTGCTGTAGCACTGTGTGGCCCACGGCTCCGCTGCCGGCACATCCCACCCTCACCACCCTGGTGTCCCTGGCTGCAGGGCAGGGCTGGAGGCAGAGCTGTGCTGCTGGCTGTCTGCACTCTGCCCACGGCCCCTGCACTCCTGCCCTTCCTCTCCGGGTGCGTGTGGACCCCATAAAACACTCTCCAGGCTCTGTGCTGGGGGCAGGGCTGGGCAGCACAGTGCCCGGCTGGGAGCCATGGGCGCAGGGATCCTCTGCCCGCTGCAGCCTCCCTCGCAGGGTGCTCGACACCCAACAAGCCGCTCTAGCTGGGTCGGGGCTGCGTGCTCAGTGTGGGAAGGGGCTGCGGCGCGGGGTGTGCTTTCCTGGGGGATGCTCTTGGGGCTGGCTCAGCACAGGCAGTGCCCAGCTAAACCCTGGGGTCTGTCGCTGTGGCACGGACAGGTCACAGATGCTGCAGGTCTATGTGTCGGGAGTGCCCGGAGAGCAAATATTTGGCGGGGGGTTTGCAGGGGTGCAGCATGTGCCATGCCCACAGGGGCTGCCACCGGCTGTCTGGAGCCTGGGGGTCTTTGCATGTGCCCCAGCGGTGGCGGCGCAGCAGGCTGTGTTGGGAGAGCGCCAGGCTGGTCATGCCGGTGATGGGGACAAGGGAGCAAAACTTTTCCCTGGGTCTTTTTCTCCCCGCTGGGTTGCACAGGGCCTTACGCCTGCCCGGGCAGCACGGGCTCCTCTCGGTGTCACTGCAGTGTGCGCAGCTCAGGGACGTCCCAGCCCAATTGCGACGTAGCCATTTGTTCCCCCTTGCGCTCCTTTGGTGACTTTATCACCTTGTACCATCCGCCCCCTGCTACAGCCTGGCCACTAATGGGGCGAGTGGCTTAATGAATGAAAATGGCCTGGGCAGCCGTCGGGTGGCAATGCCTCGTACCTGGTGGCTGGCGGCAGGGCTGCGGCAGTGCCGGGCCTCACGGGGCTGTTGTCCATCTCATCTGATGCTGTTTTAAACCCTGGGCTCAGCACTGGGTGTCCCCAGCCGGCCCAGGTGTGAGCAGGACCTGGCAGAGGCAGGTGGGCAGTGAAGGAGCAATGCTTTGAGGGTTACCCTCGAGCCGTGCCCCGCCAGGAGGGCCGGGTCCTCTCACCCACTGCTGTGTCACCCATGTGTCGCCGGCTGCCATGGGGCACCCTGGGGAGCACGGGGGGTTCAGCACCCGGTGCCTGGCCCCACATGGCCCCTGCATCCTCCTCCAGACAGGTGCAGGCAGCCACAGGGGCATGGCCAGCACTGTCTTGGCTGGGGGACAGTGGGGTGGGGACCCTGGTCCCCACTGCTCAAGTTTGCCTGGCTCCCTTTGCTCTCCTGCACCAGGTCGTGTCCCCATCCTGCTCTGCGCAGGGATGACACAGTCCCCATCCCCTGCCCGGGCCGAGCTGGGTCACTGGGGCATCCTGCCACAGGTCTGTCCCTGGCTGGCAGCAGGGAGGGGACACCCTGCAGGATGGGGTCCCAGGGCTGGTCACTGTCACCCCGTGCCAGCTGCTTGCTGGGAGGGACAGGCCCCTGGGACAGCGCTGGCATCCCTGGGCACGGCCGCAGCCAGGGACCCCACACCTTTGCTGCAGGGTTTTCCCTGTGTGCGGCAGGGACGGGCCCCGGGGCCACGAGTCACCTCGCCCTGTGCCACACTGATGCAAGCCCAAGTGCATGGAGCCACGCATGCCTGATGGCTGCTCTCTCTGCTCTGCCACCAAGGGTCCCGCGGGGCCGACATGAGCCCGTCCCACCTCTCGCCGTCGCAGGGGGGATCGACCGCGCCGGCTCCCGCAGAGGAGATCTGGGTGCTGCGGAAACCCTTCGCAGGTATGGCAGGCGCGTGCTGCTGAGACCCTCCCTGTCCCTGGGGGTGGGGGCACATACCAGGATGTCGCAGTGGCTCCAGTGGGGCATGGATGCACTGCGACATCCCCCAACCCGGCCATGGGGCTCGGTGCCCTGACGGCATCTCCTCTCTCTGTGCAGGTGGTGACCGCAGCAGCCTGGGCAGCACAGGCAGCGTGGCCTCTGCCCGCAGCTCGGGGAGCGGGCAGAGCACGGGCAGTGGGGCACATGCCCTGCACGCTGGCTCTGAAGGTGTCAAGGTAAGGTGAGCCCCAAGGCAGCCGTGCCAGCCTGTGGTGGCACTCGGCTCCAGTCCCAGCACTGGCGCTTGCCCTGGGGCAGGTGTTCGCTGCCTTGGCAGCTGCCCCTGGTCCCTGCTGGGATTGATGCTCGGCCAGGTGCTTTGAGCACCCAGCATGCCGCCAGCTGCGGCCGTCACCGACGGTGGCCACCAGTGTGTGCCCTCCTGGCTGGCCCTCAGCTGCTGGCTGGGCCCAGGCTCAGACCCCCCAGGACAACATCCTGCTGGGCTGCGGGGGCTGCCAACGTGTGCAGGGTCCGGTGAGGCTGCATGTTGTGCCTCTGCTGCCACTCGCAGGGTGCCTCCACACTGCATACTGCACGCTGCGCTGCATGCTGTGTGCTGCCTCCAGCATGCTGCCCACTGCAGCTCCGCACTGCACAGAGCCATCTGCCTGCTGCTGCCAGCACGCAGCCCACTGGACGCTCCTGCCTGCACACTGCACACTGCTGCCGGCACATTGCCCACTGCACATTGCACACTACATGCTGCTGCCTGCACAATATACACTGCACATTGCCCCCTGCACACTGCTGGCTGCACGTTGCCCCCTGCACTTTGTGCCCTGCCCATGGCAGCCTGGGGTGTCCCGTCCCCGGGCCAAGGCACCCGCGAGCCCACCTCCCCTGGCATCCTGCCCGTGTTATGCCAGAGCCGGCTGGGCACTGGGGTCTGTGTGCCCCTGAGCCGAGCACCATGCTGACAGCCGTGGGGGCTCTGCTTTTCAGGCAAGGGGGCCCTGCAGCCCACGCTGGCAGCCTGAGCCGGGCATGCGTCAGGCTGGATTCGGGGTGCCGCGGTGCTGCGGGCTCCCGACGCCTGCAAAGCACCATCTGTGCTGCTCCCGCTGCTCCCGCTCTCCCCGCCACAGCCCAAATCTGCTGCGCCCCTCCCTGCCCACCCTCGCCCGGGCTGGCAGCAGGGCGGCCCCC